AACTTTCACATGCATCTAAGGCTATTTAAAATACCATGATTGGTTCAGGTGACCTTTAGTCCTTAAACTGACATCTTTGCATTTGAACAATTTAAAGAGGTCATGTGCAGCAGATTTGTCTAATGCAGTATGTTGTTTGATTTCTTGACTGCTGCTTCCATGAGTGTTGATGGTGAATCCAAGTAAAATGAAGGTTTTGACAATGTCAGTCTTTCTCCATTTATGTGTATGTTTATTGGTCCAGTAGTGAGGATTTTTGTTTTCTTTACATTGAGCTACAACCTATACAAAAGGCTGTGGTCTTTGATCTTCATCAGTATTTTAAGTCTTCTTCACTTTGAGCAAGCAGTGTTGTATCATCTGCATATTGCAGGTTGTTAATGAGTCCTAATGGCACATTCTCCATGTAATGCAGCTTCTCATATTATTTGCTCAGCATATAGATTGAGTAACTATGGATAAAATTTGTTCACACTGCTTTCTTAATTTTAAACCACTCAGTTTCCCCTTGTTGTGTTTGAACAACTGCCTCTTAGTCTATGTTAAGTATTTCAGAATACTCATTCTCAGCAATATTGGCCATAGCTTGTTATGATCCACACAATCATAAGCTTCTGCATAGTCAGTAAAATACAGTTAAACATCTTTCTGGTATTCTCTGCTTTCAGCTAAGATCTATCTTTCATCAATGATATCCCTCGTTCCACATCCTCACCTGAATCCGTATTGAACCCATGGTAGTTCCCTGTCAATGTACTGTTGCAGCCGTTTTTGAATTATCTTTAGCAAAGTTTTACCTGCATATGATAACAATGATAATGACTGATGGTTTCCACATTTTGTTGGGTCTCCTATCTTTGTAATGGGCACAATAAATATGAGTCTCTTCCAATCAGCCAGGTAACTGTCATCCAGATTTCTTGGCATACATGAGTGAGTGGCCCCAGTGCTGCCTCAGTTTGTTCAAAGATTTCAATTTGTATTCCATCAGTTCCCAGTGCTTTGTCTTCACCAATGCCTTCAGTGCACCTTGGACTTCTTTCTTCAGTACCATTTGCTGTTGATCATATGGCACCTCTTGAAATAGTTGAACATCAACCATTTCTCTTTGGTGCAGTGACTATATTCCTTCTCTCTTCTTTTGATACTTTCTGTATCATTCAATATTTTACCCAAACAATTCTTCA